TGAGCCAGTCCCCCCCATATCATGGCCCCTCAGATGATGGAAATGGGTACTGTCAGAATGAGACGAGGATGAGCAGCAGTTCATGGCCTGTTTGGACAGGACTCGTTGGCGGCGCTGCCGCGGACGTTGTACATTTGAGACAAAATGTCGCCTGCCCAACGGCGGCCGCTGTCGATTTTGGATGCATTTGTTGCTGAGCATCGTGCCCAGGCTTCCCAGACCCATCTGGGCGTCCTCGCCGTCGTCGTTCGTCGTCGTCGCCCTTGTCGTCGATGTCATCTTCTCGTCCTGGACCTCGAGCCCCGTTGCGGGCGCGCGCGAGGCCAGCTCGGGCGGGCATAGGGCTAGGATAGATCGTTCCAGTGCTCTCGTCAACACTCTCAGAGCGTTCTGGCGCCCTCTGGAATGGCCGCAGCGCGCGATGCATCCTCCAGAACCGCTGGATCTCACAGGTCCCCGACTTGTCCCTGTCCGATTTTGTCCCGGCCTGGACCTGCGTGAGGGGTGCCACCGAATTTCAGAAATGCGGCAAATCCCCTGTGTTTGTGGACCCTGACCCCGCCGATCTGCGCAAGGGGTGCCACCGAATGTTAGAAATGTGGCGAATCCCGTGTGGTTTTGGACCCTGACCCCGCCGATCTGCGTGAGGGGTGCCGCCGAATTTCAGAAATGTGGCAAATCCTGTATGTTGTTGGACCCTGACCCCGCCGATCTGCGTGAGGGGTGCCACCGAATTTCAGAAATGTGGCACATCCCCTGTGGTTCTGCACCCTGCTCTGCGTGAGGGGTGCCGCCGAATTTCAGCAATGTGGCACATCCTTTCTGTTTTTGCACCCTGACCCCGCCGAGCTGCGTGAGGGGTGCCGCCGAATCCTGGAAGCCCGCCTCGGCGAGGAGCTCGGGCAGTGCACGTGCATCTGCCTGGACAAGCAGAAGCACCTGGAGGCGCAGGCGCGGCAGCCGATCCAGACGCCCGAGGCCTCGCCCTCGGCTCCCGCCGCCATGGGTGCCAAGCGACCGCGCCGCCGCCTCCGTCGTCGTCGTCGTCGCCGCCGTCCCCGTCGCCGTCCCCGTCGCCGTCGCCGTCGCCATCGTCGTCATCGCGTCACCGTGGTCCCCTGAGATCCGTGCGCTGTAGTTTTCTCACACATGGCGTGTTCGCCTGCTTCTGGTCCCCGGGACTCACTCACGTCGATCCAGCTCGAAGAGTGGTGCAGACGGAGGGGGTCTGGGGCTCACCTCGTGATTTGTCACGATGTTGCATTTTTGTTCGCGATGTCAGCTCTCAGGGTCCTCTGAATTCCGACGTCACGTAGGAAATCACAGCCAGAGCCCTCGACTCCCATCTTCTGTGCGGCGTCTCTCGAGCCGGGTCGAGCGCCCCGCGGGGCGCGGCCCGAAGCCCGGCGAAACAGCGCCGGGAGTGAAGTCGATGCGACGCTTGGATGTTAGAGTCGTGGCGTCGTCGTCTTCGTTGTCCGCGCCTTTCGCCCCCCCCCCCCCCCCCGACTCGTCCTTCTGGCTCCCCCGTCGCATGCGATGTCTGTCCCCCCATCCACCCCCGAGTTCTCCCTCCAAAAAACAGCACCCACGAAGGGGGGCCAGCCCGCGGAAGCGCCCCGAGCCCAGGGAAAAGCAGCCGTTCCCCAGGAGTTCCGAGCCACGACCCTGGGAATTGGGGCACCCCCTACCGGGGCACAGAAACATACACATTGTTCACTTCTAATTATTCGAAAGTTCTTTGATTTTTCGCGGGGCCAAGATCCTTTCATTTCTAATTGTCCTATCCTGGGCCTCTTCCTGGCCACTAGGGGGCCAGGAACAATTAGAAACGAGCACAATAAGAAATGAGCGCGATTCAAACTGAACGACGTGTACTACCCCAAGAACAGCGAAGACACGAAGTGTGGAAGCGTTTGGGGAGGCTCCTGACAGGAGGTTCCTCTATGCTACTCCTCCGCATCCTCCTTCCTCTTCCTTCCTCCTCCTTCCGCCTCATCCTCCCTCCTCCTCCTCTCTCTATCTTCTCGGCTCTCGCGAGCATTACCCTCTGACCATCTTGGCCTTTGTCGTTGCTGTCGTCGTCTTCGCCGTTCTCGTCGTCAGTGTCGCCCTTGCCGTCGTCGTCGTCTCGGCGGCGGCGGCGTCGGCGAGCAGAGTTATTTTACTTGTTTCCCCCCTCCCACGTTACCACTTGACGAGAAGTCAATGTTTGCCCGCTCCACTCGTAGAGTAGTAGAGTAGTAGAGTAGTATTTGTTGGTCGCCCTCTAGACGTCACCACCTGACGGGTAGATTATGATACATGACTGGTTCTTTTCCGCCCTCTTGCGTTGCCACTTGGCGATCATCACATCAGATGTGTTATGTGTCCTGCGCTGCCACGTGGCGAGGAAAGTCTGATGTTGGTTTTCGTTCCCAGGCGTGGCCATCTAGAGGGTAGACTTGATGGTATGCGTTTCGTCCCGTCGTTCTTCCTGACTCGGGGGCGGGCAAGAACGGGGTGCGGACCAGGGTGGGAGGGTGAATATCCTGGCCACGGCTATGATATCTCCCCTGGTTTCAAGGCCCCCTCTCCTTCTGTCAATGCGTCCCCTGGCTCCCCCTTGGTCGCGCACGTGCCTCGGGCCATATTTGCGACCACTCCCTCTTGGGCGGCCTCAAGTTTGGCCGGTCAAGTTCGACGAGCTCGACGAAGGAATTCGATACGCAGACGCTCCAGCATCCGACAGGTTGGGAAGCTGGGGCGAATACACACCGAGCTCCATCTTGGTGTATACATCGAGCCCCCTCCGAGAAGGCCAGGAGCAGTTCCTCCGCTCATGCACGATGGACTCAGACCCACCCCTGCCAGACATACACTCAAGCAGTGGCGAAGCGTCCTGGCTCGCCTATAGTCCTACCAAACAATGTTCTAATAACCTTTTGTTGTTTCCACGGAATGTTCTTAGAACATTTCTAGATGAGACTGTCTTGTTTTAACACATAGGGCCAATGTTCCAAGGTCATTGTTTTTGCTCTTGGAACAGTTTGGGGTTCTAAAAACATTTCGTGGTAGAACTATAGGAATGCCAGGGCGGTCCGTCCCTGCTCAATGCACGTCAACTTGGCGGGGGGGGGCGCTTGTATACTTTTCCTCCGCTTTCCAAGGGGAACAGCGAAACATGTATACACCAGGGTCCCGTATACACCAGGATCAGCTCTCCAGTGTAAATTCTGATGCGGGGCTGGAAAAAGCGTCAGTGTCTTAGAGCTCGATTCCCTAACATGCACGTCAACCTGGCGGGGGGGCGCTTGTATACCTCGAGCCCCCTCCCACTGTGCCCTCCGCCCCCCCCCTTCAAGTCTGGCGGCGCGCACAAGCGGTCAGCGCGAGGGGGGTGGCCTCCGACGATGGCGGGGGGGGCTCCCAAGAAGGCGGGGGCCTCCGCAGGAGGGCTTGGAAATTGTCGTTCTAGGGTCCCGCGATGCCGGAAACAGGAACCATTTACATCACCAGTGGCGGGTTGCTTTTTTTTATCCCACGACTTTTGGAGGGTCGGGGACGACGTCGGGGTGGTGTGGTGTATACCTTTCCTCCGCTTTCCAAGGGGAACAACGAAACATGTATACACCAGGGTCCCGTATACACCAGGGGGCGGCCTTCGAAGATGGCGGGGGGGCTCCCAAGAAGGCTCCCCCGTGCACGGCGTACCTTCTAAGAGTCGCGGTCCTCGGAATCGGAGCGTAAGCGGGGTGGTACATTCCACCTCGAGCGAAAGATTGGTTCGAGGCCGGCAGCAAACAGGTACCAGGAGGGAAAGAGGAAGAGGACTCTGGAAAGAGAGTTTACAAAGTGCCTGCAGTTGCCGACAGGGAAGCGGACGGAACCAGTGTCGCTTGGCAGGGCTGCCGGGTGCACGACGCGCTCGAGCGTCTCTGGCCCTGTGTGTCAACGCCGTCCCCTCCCTCCGCCTCATTCGAGCTTCGCGCGGCCCGCTCAGCTTCGACCGGAAGAGGCGCGCTCTCGACCGAAAGAAAACATGTGTCGACGCAACCAAACAAAGCCAGCGAGAACTGGGTGAGTTTAAAAAAAAACACAAAACAACAAAAAAAAAAAACATGTGTCCACGCCAAGTGCGCGGCCTTGGAGGTTGCTGCCCTCGGGCCCGGCGACGAGCCGGGCTCCGGGGCCCGACCCTCGCCCCCCCCCCCTCTGCCGCGGATGCTTGTTGACCTCGTCGGCTGCGCAGGGCCGAGGGGGTCACGCAGTGGCGAAGCGTCCCGGCTCGCCTACAGCCCTACCAAGCAGTGTTCTCAGAACCTTATGTGGCTTGCACGAAACGTTCTTAGAACAGTCCTGGCGGAGTCTGTCTTGGTTTCACACATCGGGTGAATGCTCTAAGAACGTTGCTTCTGTTCTTGGAACATTTTTGGGTTCTAAGGGCATTTCGTGGTAGGACTACAGGAATGCCGGGACGGTCGGTCTCTGCTCAAAAGGGGTTACGCAGTGTAGTGGTGCGCGGGCATGTGCGCGGCTGCCCAGGGCGAAACGGTTCGGTCTCCGGCCGGCACCTCCGCCCCCCCCTCCCGCCCGACAATCCGGGCGATCGCCGGAAAATGCAGAACCTTCTGTTTGCCAAGAACGCTTTTTAGAAGCCAGCCAGGCTTCTAAGACGAAGTCGGGCGCGCCTCTCTGTACAGGAGGAGTGTTCCAAATGGTCCACAAATAATACCAGGGCGATGTTTCGACCATTTCTGAGTTTTTGTTTCCGGATGTTGGGCTATGCTCTGTTTTCCCTCCCACATCCCCCTGTGGGAGGACGTGCCCGACGAAATTCTACGGAGGCCTGCGTCCCTCTGGGAAGGCCGCCGCCCCTGGTGCGCGCCCGCCCAGCCCGCCGTCCCTGGTGCGGCGGCGGCCCCCCGCTCTGTGCCCTCCGCGGGCTCCTGTGCCCAGGACGTGCCGCGCCTCTTCGACCTGATCCAGCCGACCAAGGACGGCCGTTCCGCCCCCCCCCC